AATTAGGTGTCTAGAATACTTTAGAGGATCTAGGCCAGAATTTTGGAACGTGCACAAAATAAAAAGTCCGAACAGAGACTTTCCCCTCCACTCTAATCTTTTTCTGCTATGTATTCCTTGGTTTTGCTTATAACACCGGTACGTAGAAAATGCAATTTTCAGCTTGACATTGTCTCCTTAATACTTGTTTTAATTAATTTTTAACACACTGTAGTTATTAGCTATTTGTTATAAAGTGCTAATAGTCTGGACTTCCTGAAAAGAGAGCCTCCATTGGATAGATAGGATGGGATGTGGACTCCCCATTTATTTTTCTTTTTTCAGCTTTTGTCATTGGCGGTTGTCAGAAAAGATGGGTATTTGTGCTGGAATATCACTAAGCCACCTTTAAGGGGCTGGTTTTCTTTGCTCAGTTACTTGGCTTTGGAAGATGTCTGTAGAGTTGTGGTGTGCCTGGGGACTTGTGTAGTAATTTCATTTTTAAAAATGAAACGTCAATTAAAATAGGTTAGATCAGAGAGGAACCTGATAGGCTAACAAGCTTTCTGAACATATCCCATGAGCAACTTTTTACTGATTGTGCACTGAATAGGTGGAGGAAGGTGCTTGACTTTTACCTCATAATGGGCTTGATCCTGTATGGTGCTGAGCAATCTGGCTGTGAGCCGGTGAAGAACTTATTCACGTGTTTACCTGTAAGCATGTGAGAGTCCCACAGATTTTAGTGGTATGGGTCACATTCTTAAAATTATGTTTCTGTGCAAATGAAGTGGTTTGCTGGATCAAGGCCAGAGGTCTCAGCATGTTACAGGATTGAGCCCAATACATGGGACATTTCTATATATCAGGTCATATGTTACTGCTTTCCTGGTTGTATGTTAACTGTAATTACAGCATATAAGCACATTTCTTGCAGATTCTAAGTACTATTAACATGAGGTGTCAAATTGTGGCCATACCTATGTGAATGACCTAGCAGGGAAGAAAGGATTCAGGGGATGCCTTTGATTCCTTCCTCTACAGTACCAAATGACCTAGCAGGGAAGAAAGGATGACCTAGCAGGGAAGAAAGGATGCAGGGGATGCCTTTGATTCCTTCCTCTACAGTACCAAAGCTGGAGCCAGCCAATTTTGGCTATTGACACTGGGGAGAAGAAAGGAGAGCCTCTGGAACTATTGGCATTGCTAACTGATTCAGAGGAACCATGTCTGGGTAGAGCAGAAACAAGGATATGTCTGCCCTCTGTGCTCTGGGAAGGGCAGGAGGAAGAGCATGAAAGTTCTAATACTCACTGTGCTCCACACCAGGATCTTTGGTGATTGTATGAGTTTCACAGTCATAGCACTTGGAAGCATAAGCTGCTGTTTCTTCCTCAGCACTCAACAGAGCCCACGGCTATAATTTAGCTCAAAATGTTATTCTGTAACTCATAATTAAGTCTTTATATCCTTTTAGTGCGGAATCCTAAAGAAATATGATGGACACCTATAACTCATTTTTCTGTAAATGGGTGACAGGGGAGGGATCACGTGAGGATTACCTGTTGTGTTCCCTCCCTCTGAGGCATCTGGTATTGGCCATTATCGGCAGGGAGAATACTGGACTAGATGAACCATTGGTCTGACCCAATATGGCCATTCTTGTGTTCTTAAAAGCAGCTATGCAATTGCAAACTTCCAGCCTAGTCATTTGTAAAATAAAGCAAGATCCTTAGTTATCTGTAGGAAATACTCGGTAACTATTTCTTTTAATCATTTAAACTTCAGGCTGATCAAGGGCCCTAATAGGGGAATATGAACATTTTTTATGAGGGAGGAAAAGAAAAACAAATTGAAGATATTCCATCTAGTCACGCTGCCAAAATGTTGGGATTTTTAATTCAAAGATTATTTGTGTTTGAAGAAAATGAAGTGAATGAGCCTATGCTGCACGGTGGTTTATAAAGTAAAATGGATAAAACACCAACAAAACACACAAGAATTTCTCATTTATTTTGAGGCAGAACTAACTTAGACTTCCATGGCAATTTTGCCTGAGTAAAGGCTGCACAATTTGGATTATAATCTTTCTTAACGTATTTTCATTTGAAGCATATTTTCAGAGATCAGTGATGGATTTAGGGTCTGATCCAAAGCCCAGTGAAATCAAGGGAAATCTTTTCACTGAGTTCATTGGGCTTTCGATCACGTTGCAAAGGCAAATTATCCAGGAGACGATTGAAGAGTAATATACGAAAAGGTACCACTAATTATTCCGTCAGGCAGCAAAAGGAAACATGCAGCTCTGTGCTTCATCACTGATGACAACAATTATGTTTACATCTCTGAAAACAGCATATTTGCTGCTGCCATCGAGTCAACACAGGCGACCTCTGACATTTAAAAATCCACTTTGTGAAAATAATGATGCTTTTAAAAATATTCTTAACTGCCTAAAAAACAATTTTCTTTTTTTTTTAAATAAATGCTTGTAAGCCATTCATCACTAGAGCATATCCTCTCTAAGGTGACTTGCACTTTGGGCTAATTTGTATAGAAAAATCTTATAAAAAGTAATAAAGGATGATAGCCTTGTTAGAGTTTTTTTTTTTAGATTATTCTATGTTAATTTATTAGGTATGTCTACAGAGCAGCATTATTTCAAAATAACTAACATTATACTGAAATAACAAAGAGCATGTCTTCACTGCAAAACATTATTCGAAATAATGGCGAGTTAGAGGACTTCTTCCTCCAACTCCTGTAACCCTCATTTCACAAGAAATAAGGGAAGTCAAAGGAAGAGTGCTCTTCCTTTGACTTCCTGCTGTGTAGACAGCACCAAAGGACGAATTAAACTATTTTGACTAAATCTACGCAATTGTTGTAGCTCAAGTTATGTAGCTTAATTCGACTTTTGCCCTGCTGTGTAGACGTGCCCTTAGAGAATTATAGCACTTTTATAGGGTAGTTTATAAAAGATATAAAAAGACATCGTTCTTTATTAAATTCTAGGGTTCTTAAAAGTAATTCCCATAGAGCCCTATTTAATTTCTATGGGAGCCTAAAGGTTTCAGCCTTATTAAATTCTGTAGGTCTCCTCCAGAAAGGCTAAGTGCTTGTATTTCTCTTTCAATGAACACTGTTAAAATATTCAATCCGGTTGTTTGGGTTTTTTTAAAGAATTTGATACAGGAGTGCAGTTGGGCTAGATCATGGTGGCTTGGCAGACTTTTCTGTTCCAAAAGCTGATCGTTCTCTCCTCTGTCTCCCTATCCCCCCACCATTTAAGCATCCATTGTGAAACATAACTACTGATTTGTTATGTTTTTGTTTTTAAGTGCCCATCTTGACCTTGAAAGGGCCTGATTTTCACAGAGTGCTAAGCCTGTGACTTCTGAAAATCAGGATCCTTTAAAGTATTTCAGGTTAGGCACCTCAAATCAGTAGTCCCATTTCAAAATGTAGGCATGTGTCTTTAACTATTGTAGTTGCAAAGAAGATATTAATATGTAAACCTAATGTAGTTCAGAGCAGCGATGTTTACCTGTGTCTACAGACGGTCTAAATTACTAGCTCTGAGAGAGATGTGAATTGCCTTATTCATCTCATCACAGTGATAACTCTGAAACCTAATGATATTTTATAAATGGTAAGTTTTCAGAATGGAGAAAGGTAACTAATGGTGTCCCCCAAGGGTCTGTCCTGGGGCCAATCCTATTCAACTTATTTTTAAATGATCTGGAGAAAAGGGTAAACAGTGAGGTGGCAAAATTTGCAGATGATACCAAACTGCTCAAGATAGTCAAGACCAAAGCAGACTGTGAAGAGCTTCAAAAAGATTTCACCAAACTAAGTGATTGGGCAACAAAATGACAAATAAAATTTAATGTTGATAACTGTAAAGTAATGCACATTGGAAAAAAATAATCCCAACTATACATATAATATGATGGGGACTAATTTAGCTACAACTAATCAAGAGAGAGATATTGGAGTCATTGTGTATGAAGAGAATGTTAGGAATTATTTAAAAAGGGGTAGAGAATAAGACAGAGAATTCTTATTGTCTCTTTATAAAACCATGATACACCCACATCTTGAATACTGCATACAGATATGGTTGCCTCATCTCAAAAAAGATATATTGGCATTGGAAAAGTTTCAGAAAAGGGCAACAAAAAAGATTAGGGGTTTGGAACAAATCCCATATGAAGAGAGATTAAAAAGACTTGGACTTTTCATCTTAGAAAAGAGGAGACTAACGGGGGATAGGATAAAGGTCTATAAAATCGTGACTGGTGTAGAAAAAGTAAATAAGGAAAAGTTATTTACTTATTCCCACAAAAAAAGAACTAGGGGTCAGCAAATGAAATTAATAGGCAGCCGTTTTAAACCAAATAAAAGGAAGTTTTTCTTCACTGAGCGCACAGTCAGCCTATGGAACTCCTTGCCAGAGGATGTTGTGAAGAGTAGGACTTTATCAGAGTTCAAAAAAGGAGCTAGATAGATTCATGGAGGTTAGGTCAATCAATGGCTATTAGCCAGGATGGGTAGAAATGGTGTCCTTAGCCTTTGTTTCTCTGGAGGTGGGTGACAGGGGAGGGATCACATGATGATTACCTATTGTGTTTACTCCCTCTGGGGCATCTGGCATTGGCCACTGTTGGCAGACAGGATACTAGGCTAGATGGACCTTTGGTCTGACCCAGTATGGCTGTTCTTATGTTCTTAATTAAAATGCCTGTGTTGTTGGCTGTTTCACTGCTGGTCAAAAAATCCAGAAAGGCAAGGGATAGTCATACTATACATTTCTGCCCAATCTAATGTAAGTGGCTTTCTTTTGACCCCTTGTTCTATGACTCAAGTAGATGACATTTGGGAGAAAACCACAACTTTTTTTTTACCCTCCATTCAATCTGTGATTCAGTAGTGCCAAGACTGGAGCCCCAGAATTTATTATTCCCCATGCTTTGCAATAGGAAATATGCCCAGTGTTTATCCCCGGTGTTTGCTTACAGCTTCAGAAGCAGCTGTCCGAGCTGGATGAGGATGACCTGTGCTACGAATTCCGTCGGGAGCGCTTCACCGTCCATCGCACTCATCTGTATTTTCTACATTATGAGTACGAACCTGCCTCAGACAACACTGATGTAACACTGGTGGCCCAGCTCTCCATGGACAGGTAGGGA